TGGATGGGCCATGGGGTTGTTGTTGTTAAGTGCTGTCAAGTTGGTTCTGACTCATAGCAACCCTGCAAAGGGCTTCTGAGGCTGTATATCTTCGCAGAAAGCCTCGTCTTTCTCCCATAAAGATGAGCCTTGAACCGCTGATCTTGTTGTTTACAGTCCAGTGATTATTCTACAGAGCCACAGCGTTCCCCGGGATATAGGGGTAAGTTAGTAGAAAGCACAGTGCATTTGGAGTCAGGAGTCCTGGTACCGTTTATTAACTATGTGGTCTTGGGAAAGTGGTTTAATCACTTTGAGCTTCATTTTACTTAGCCATAAAATGAACGTCATTAAATTTCTGGATGACAGAATATCTTAGTGGTTGAAAATCATTTTAGTGGCCATTAAATGCCTTCAGTGCTTACTCTGTGCTAGACACAATGCTGAGCTTCCATGAGGTATCTGCTTATTTCTCACAATATAGCAGTGAGGTCAGTATTGTTATTCTTATTACATAGATGGCAAAATGGGGACTCTAGAAATCAAGGAACTTGCTCATGTTCCCACAAATAGAAATGACTGAGCCTGGTTTAGAAAAGGAAATTCTGACTGTCTTCACAACCCATTTTATTTTATTTTATTTTTCAAGAACTAAGATTTATTCAGTGATTCAGTAATTGAGATAACAATTTTGATACAATGAGAAAAGTAAACCACACCTATAGCTATAGCTATTTTTTTGTTTTTTCTTTAAACTTTTTATTGTGAATTGGATGAAAGTTTCAGAGCAGATTCGTTTTCCATTCAACACTTTGTTTTGCATAATTCATTGCAATCCCCACATGTAACACCACTTATTCCACTTCTCTCTGGGTTCCCTGTTTCCATGTCTCCTCCTGTGGCACTGTGGGCTAATGCGTCAGACTGTAAAGTCATTTGAACTGCAAGGTCGGTGGTTCAAGTTCACCAACTGCTCCTTGGAAACCCCATACAGGGTTGTTATGGGTCGGAATCACTCAAAAGCACTTAACAACAACAAGAATCCTTCTAAACTTTTTCCTTGGGTAAATACTGCTCTTTTGATCTCAGTTGGTTGATTATTCTAAGGCGTGCATTGTTGTTGTTGTTAAGTGCCACTGAGTTAGTTCTGACTCATAGTGACCCTGTATAGGGTTTCCTAGGAGTTACTGGTGAGCTTGAACCACTGACCTTGCAGTTCAAATAGACTTTGCAGTCCAGGGCATTAACCCACAGCACCATACTAGGACTCCGTATCTCCCTAATATCGCATGTCTCCCTAATATTGCTCCCCTTATAGACTTATTACTTAGCAGAAAATTGAGTCACAAAGGTGAGTTCATTTCCAGACCTGAATGGTGACTAAGAGTCCTAGTCTTGGGGTTTCCACCAGTCTCTATCTGGGTGTGGCGCTGTAGGATCAGCACTGGACTTTGAACCACAAGGCAAGCCATTAAAAACCCACCAGCTGCTCCTTGGAAACCCTATATAGGGTTGCAATGAGTATGAACTGACTCGATGGCACTTAACAACAACAACAACACTATCTAGTTATTTGACATTTTGCATTTAGGACAGTAGTAAAAATCTACTATCTGACTTTAACATTAATGATGTAGGTCTAGTAGTAGCAACTGCTGAAGTGCAAGGCAAGAGTAACATTGATTGTGATCATTTAGGTTATATGCCAACTTGTCACTTGATTTGGTCATGATTCCCAGTGGTTTGGCAGTTATGTAATGATGTAATTTGGCAGTTATGTTGTGATACAGTCATCCTCCACTGTGATCTGATCTGATCACCCTCAATGTTTGCTTGAATGTCAAGTTTGTATAATGAACTGGTCTTTGGAATCTAGCCATGCCAATAAAGGAGGAATGGGTGTTTAAGCTAGATAATTCAGAAACTGGCCAGTGCAATAGAAAACACTGAGCTTGAAGATATTTATGACTCAGGTGGAAAATACTATATTTTATTAGCATTTTCTTAGCCACTGTTCTTTATTACTGGGATTTCAGCTTTACCTTTCTACCTGTACGTAGCACATCAGGGATTTCTCTCATGAATGTTTTCCACAAGCCCATGAAGGATACTGTATATTTGATAATATATGGAGGAGTGGTCCATTGCTAAGGATTTACACCTTTATTTTCTATTGTTTGTAAATAAATTATGTGTGTAAAAAATGGGAATAGTTAGCAGATTCCCATCTTTCTTTTCAATGAACCTGCCTTGACAATTCGATTTAATTGATAAACTCCCTCTGTTTCAGGTCCCTAGATGGCACAGTTTGCGCTTAGCTATTAATCTAAAGATGTGTGTATTTTAGCCAACCCAATAGCAGCATGAAAGAGAGACCTGGTCATCCACTTCCATAAATACCACAGCCAAGAAAACCCTACAGAGTGCAGCTCTCCTCTATAACACACAGGATCACTCTGAGTCTCTATACCTTGTTGTATTGTTTCACAGCACTTATTACTTTCTACCATTTAAAACATTTGAACACATATTGTATACGACTGGTCCTCTGCTAGAATGACAGCTCCCTGAGGGCAGGGATCTCTGTTTTGTTCCTAAGCAACCAAAAGAGCACCTGGTGCATCGGCCGTTCTCAGTGGATTCTCATTGAGCAAATAAATACGTACAACTTCATTTATTTTTCTTCAGTCAGGATAATTTATATGAATTATAGTTTGAATTGTACCCCCTCTCCAATATATGTTGTAAATCCTAAACCCTATACCTGTAACTGTAATTCCATTTAGAAATGGGGTTTCTTTGCTATGAGAGTGAGAAAGTATGTTTTGATTCAATCTCTTCTGAGATATTAAGAGCAGATGAAAGAAGGAAGCCAGGGAGCAGAGATGGGGGAAGATAGATGTCACGCCACATGAAAATTATCAAGGAGCCAGAGAATTGATGCTGGAGAGACAAGACCCTTCCCCCAGACTCGACAGAGAAAAAGAAAGCCTTCGCATTGCACCGGTGCCCTCAATTGAGATTTCTAAACTGTGAGAACATTAACTGTTTATTGGGAAAGTAACCCACTTTTGGTATTTCTGCCATTGCAGCACTAAAAAATCAGGACAACTCCAAAACCAAACCAACTCCACTGCCATCCAGTCAATTCCAACTTGTATAGTGACCCAGTGTAAGGGTTCCAAGGCTGTAAATCTATACAGGGCTGAAATCCTCATCTTTCTCCCAAGGAGCAGCTGATGGGTTTCAACTGACCTTACTGTTAGCAGTTTAGTTCTTATTCTACAATGCCTAGATAACTCCTCTTAGAACACAGCAACTCAGTCTTTTGGGAGAAGATCAGAAGAAGATTTAACCTTTGGCATAGGAAACGAAAACCCTAGCTATATGCATTAACAGGAATTCAGTTGGTGAAAAGCACCAGGTACTGACCTTTATTTTTTCAATGCAGTAGTTTTTGCCAAACATTGATCACAATTTTCATATTTATCTGAAATCCTGTGAGATCTTTCTTAAATTCAGTTTTTGTTTCAGGATGAATGGAGGACAAGAAGAATCACCCTTGAAGTCCACATTCAGTATTTCTGTGACCCCAAATCATCAGCATCCAAAGCACAGATATAAGATTGTCCAAATATCTGGCAAGAACCCCATCTGTATTAGAATTCTAAACTCAGTGTGATGGCTTTCCCCTTTAATGAGCTTTGCAAGTTGATTCCAGAGTGGCTTGATTCTTGTGTCTCACTGATTGATAATGATCTGGCATTTAAAAAAATGGGACAGGTACTTTGGAATGAGAGAACTTGGAAACCAGACCATAGTACTTGGCAGAAACAGAGAGGAAGTGACTTTGCAGGCGACAGGTTGTACATTATCAGGAATTGTAAAAGTACTAGCAGGTCTTGCTCTTCAGGGCTCTCTGACTTGCATCCCATTTCCCATTCTGCTCACATGTACATCAAGAACAACCCCCAATTTTGGGATTCCAAGGGGTTCTGAACTTGGAGGTGAGAAGATTCCTGAATGTCTCACTTTGACCAAGAATTTAGAAAAAATAATTCCAAGTGTGTTAGGCACATGATGTAATTTGTATCCTTCATAATAATATTGCAATGCTGGCATTGTAATCCTCATTTAACCAACACTAAAGCTGAGGTCAAGAAAGGTTAATGAACTTGACCAAGGTCTCCCTCCCACCCAACATCTTACACACAGAACCACTAATGCTCCGAAGATCTTAAGGGATTTGAATCTAGTCCATGTCCTGAATACTTTGTTCTTCCCACAAAGTAGTGATTTCTGGTTCCACAGTGGGATTGATAGAGGGTCTCCAATTCTGGATCTGTCAGAAGCTTGGATGTGCATAGGGAACTGGATTCTAGCCCTGATTTTGCCTCTTTACTAATTACAAAATCTTGAACAAGTTGCCTCACCTCTTTGATCATCATATTCTTATCTTGAATATGGAATTAACAATATGTGCTTCCAATGGATTTCTAAAAGATCAAAACATTTAGGGTTCTAAAAATCTAAAAGATTATTTTCCTTACTGAGTCTATTAGTTTCCTAGGATTACAGCAACAAATGTCTTTAAACAATGGAAATTCATTCTCTCACAATCTAGAATCAAGGTGTTGGCAGGGTAGGGGTCTTTATAGATGGAGGGAAGGTATGTTCCTTGCTTCTTCCTAGCTTTTGGTGATGGCCAGCAATCCTTGGTGTTCCTTGGCGTGTAGACCCATCACTTCAATCTTTGCCTCTATATTCACATGGTATTCTCTTTGGGTCTCTTCTTATAAGGAAACTGGGTTCAGGACCCACCTTAAGATCCAATATGATGTCATTTTAATTAATCACATCTGCCAAGACCCTATTTCCAGATAAGGTCATAGTCTTAGATTTGGGTGGACATGAAATTTTGGGTACACTATTCAACCCAGTGCAATGATCAAATCAAGCTATGTTCACCTTTAGTTATATGAGATTTTATTTTATTTTTTGTTTCAGCAGGTGACCTTGGCTTAATGGCAGAGAACAACACTGTGGTGACAGACTTTGTTCTGGTGGGATTCCAGCTACGGCCAGAGCTTCAGCTGGGCCTCTTCTTCGTGTTTCTGATTCTTTACCTCACCACCATTGGGGGCAACCTGGGCATGATCCTACTGATTCAGAGTGACCCTCATCTCCAGACTCCCATGTACTTCTTCCTCAGCCACCTTTCTTTCCTGGACATCTGCTATTCCACTGTAATTATCCCTCAGTTGCTTAAAACCTTAGGAACTGAAAAGACAGTCATCTCCTTTGAGTGCTGCGCCGCCCAGTTCTTCTTTTTCACACTTTATGCTAGTACTGAATGTTTTCTCTTGGCTGTGATGGCCTATGACCGCTATGTGGCTGTGTGTAACCCTCTCCTCTATGCTGCAGCCATGACACCAAAGACCCGCCTCGGGCTGGTGGCCGGGGCCTATAGTGGTGCAATGGCTAATTCTGTGATACGCACTGGGTGTACGTTTTCCCTCTCTTTCTGTAAGTCCAATCACGTGGATTTCTTCTTTTGTGACTTGCCACCCCTCCTGAAGCTTGCCTGTAATGAGACCAAGCCACGGGAGCTAGTGATCTACCTCTTAGCTTTTTTTGTCATCACAACCAGCATTTCAGTGATTCTTATCTCCTACCTATTCATCATCAGGGCTATTCTGAGGATCCGTACAGCAGGTGGCAAAGCCAAAACCTTCTCCACTTGTGCTTCTCATATGACTGCAGTGGCTCTTTTCTTTGGAACTCTCATATTCATGTACCTGAAAGGTAACATGGGCTCAGCCCTCGGGGAAGACAAGATTGTGTCTGTGTTTTACACTATGGTCATCCCCATGCTGAACCCAATGGTCTACAGCCTCAGAAACAAGGAAGTGAAGGGGGCTCTGAAGAAAGCTTTCAGCAGGATGAAGGTTTCCCAAGCAGTCTAAGACCTGAGTTTCATCAATTCAGAAGTTCCTGTGAAAGATCCTCTGTGCTTTGGCTTGTCTCCTTAACACATGAACCAGATCTCACAGTTACAAAGGCCTTTTGCTGTTGTTGTTAGGTGCCATTGAGTCGGCACTGACTGATAGCAATCCGATGCACAACAGAGTGAAACCCAGCCTTGTCCTGGACTAACCTCACAGTTGTTGCCACACTTGAGCTCCCTGATGCTGCCACTTTTCCAATCCATCTCACTGGGGGTCTTCCTCTTT